CAAGAATTTACATAAAAATAATTTAAAGCTTTCCTTCCTTCTCTATTCGCAGTAAGAATTTGAACAGAAATGCAATTATGAGTTTCTTGAGGTTTTGATAGAATTCAATTATGCAAACATGTGAGTCTGGTACTTTTTGGGTAGAGTTTCCTTGATTCCATCATTAAATGCTGTGTTGAAATGTTTTAGTCATTTATTGCAATTGGCAAGTTTTGATCTCTATGTGTTGAGTGTTGCTTTTCTCAGCATCTATTTTCTATTTCTCTTCATTTACTTCTTGTCTGAGAAAAGCCAAATATGCCACTGACTTTTTGAAAAGCCCTTCAATAATAAATACATGGTCAACACTGAGGGGAGGAGATAATAATTAAACACCCTCTCTTGGGACAAGGAGTTGTACAAGCACCCCTCACTCAGCCCCTAATATTCTTCTCTTTTTCAAGAATGCACAGGCTGTGAGCAGAACTACTTGACTGAAGAACAAATGCTATCTGCTTGACTTCTGGGTACGGCTCTTTATTGATTTCACACTTGGGAAGGTAAAATGGATAAATTTTTTGCCTATCTCTCAAACTCTTGTAATTTGATACTTCAGTTTGCACTTAGATAAAAGAGACCTTACTTCAGTATTTGTAATTATATACCATTCAGGCTTACATAACCGAGGGGGAGACGTCCTGCATTGAGGTTTGCCACCAAAGTAATGGCTAGTAATTGTCTTCTTCAGCTGGCTTTGACCTTTTATAACTGTGCATATATTTTCTTATTTCATAAGGAGGGATGATTGGCTAAGAGCAGGATTAGGGTATTTGGTGGTCTCCTAGCCAGATACCATAGTAATGCCAACTCATTCTCAGCAGTATTTCTAAGTTTGCATTACCTTGTTACTAAGCTTTCTTATATAGTAAATCATTTTACTCTTTACACAATGCAGAGTTTGCCACTGTGAGTGAAGATCTCCTATTTTCCCCTTTTTGGTCAATATCCTGTAGCTTTAGACTAGATATGATCCATCAATTCCTTAAATTCTTTAAGGTCCTCAAGACAAGTATATAGTTTACATTTTTGTCATTTGTTTTGTTCTAAGATATATAAAAGAGATGAGGAAGACAGAACTGCCACGAAAGTGAAAACAACATATTTACAATGAACTACAAGTTGAAATGAAACTCTTCCACATTTCTTAGGAACAACTAGATGCATATTTTTTTAAGAATCCTTCAACTGGGCAAAACCAATTCTACCACTAGAACTCAGACAGACATTTACTTAGAATGAGAAAAATTAAACAGTTGTTTCTTTCTCCAATGAAGGGAACAAAAACTAATGAGGTATAAGTTGGAAATTACTTATCTGGTTTAACATTTAGTAGCTATATCTAAACCCAGTAGTTATCACAGAGGCGCCAAATTAATGTTTTTCATAATTATATATTCAAGAAGAAGGTATAATTTTCACATGATATAAAAGTATGCATATCATCTACACTGAGTTTTCATTGGTAATGACAGGTTTTGTTTTTGCTTATATTCTTTAAAACAAAACTTCACATATTAGAAAACATTTTTATGATAGAAAAGATATGGCTCATTCTCCATCATCTGATAATCAAACTTTAAAAGATCAGAGAAGTTTTACATATAAAGAGAGATCTTTTACTCTCACTGCTGTTCTCATACCTTTCTCTTTTTTCCCTCCAGGGGTGGTGACAGATAAAGTGGAGGCAGAGGTAGCAACAGCCATGCTGGTGGCAAGAATAATTTCTCATCTTTGAGGTAAGACTCCATGTGAGTCTCTGCCCATGGGAAGTCTGGGACCCCCAGCCATCCAGGACCAGCAGTTCCCACCACGAGCAGGAGGAGGAAGAGAAGACTGTTCTGTGGTGCCAACCCCCATCCCATTTTCCTCTTCTTGTATCTCATTGTTGCCATAGCTGTTTACAGCAGGGCTTCCTCTGCCCCCAAAATGAGGAGTTCTAGGCACTGCCATTCAGCTACCATAGCTCCTGTGACTTCCAGGAATTCTGCCTAATTCTCCCCGCTGTACACCTCCCCACCCACAAACCAATGCTGCAAGGACTGAAGAACTGTGGGGGCCCAGACTGCAGCACTAGTGGGGACATCTCCCAGAATCCCCACCCTGGAAGGTTGCATGCAGACTGAAGAGTAGCACTGGGGGCTGGGTCAGCCCCACTGATCCAGACCTACAGAGTGCAGCAAGACCACCCAGGCTGCAGAGTACGCCAGCTTGGGGGTGGTGGAAGGATGAAGCAACAAGATGGCCAGTAAAAACAAGGCCAGAGAGGTCCTGAAGGTGATGGCCCAGTGCCACTCTCTCAGCCACAGGGACGAGAATGCTATTTACTAGTAGATTTTGACTGTGGATGTAAAACTGGGCCAGGTGACTCTGTGGAATCCCCACACTATCAGACTTAGATGATAAAATTTTGAGGCCCCTAGTAGACTCAATACTTCAGGGTTTCAATGGCATGGTGTTTGCTTATGGCCAGATGGGCACTGGCATGACCTATAACATGCAAGGGAGCCCAAGCTGTACAGGGTAACACCTTTGAACATTTCTTCACTCATTTCTCATGCTCTTAGAACCAGCAGTACCTGGTCCAGGCCTCCTACCTGGAGATATACCAGAAGGAGATTTGAGATCTGCTCTCCAAGTAGCCCAGCAAGAGGCTAAAGCTGATAGAGAACCCTGAGGTATCCACATCAAGGACCTCTCCTCCTTTGTCACCAAGACTATCAAGGAGATTGAGCATATGATGAATTTGTGGAACCAGACTCGGGTTATGGGCAACACATACACGAATGAAGTCAGTTCCTGCTCCCACTCCATCTTTGTCATTACCATGGATGGCACTGAGTGTGACTATGATGGCCAGGACCACATCTATTTGGGTAAGCTCAATCTAGTGGATCTGACTAGTAGTAAGAAACAGAATAAAGCAGGTCCCTACAGAGCTGAAAAAATAGGCACACAGTTCATGCACAATGGTGATGGTGAAGGTGAAGGTAGTGGTAGAGAAGGGCCTAAGGAACCCTCCAAAATCAAATCTTTCTGTCTGCCCTGTCAGATCACTGCTCTGGTGGGCAACAGGAGCACCCATATCCCTTACTGGGACTCCAAGCTGACCCGGCTGCTGCAGGACTCTCTTGAGGGGAATGATAAGACCATCATGGTGGCCTCACTGGAGCTAGCTTCTTACTGGCTCCAAGGAGATCCTCTCCAACCTGAACTTTGTGAACCAAGCCAAGAATATCAAGAACAAGCCCTGGGTGCACAAGGATCCCAAAGACACACAGCTGCAAGAATTCTAGGAGGAGATCACCTACCTGAAGTCTCATCTGTAGAAGAAGGGAGTGCTGGGAAAGTGGCTCTGGAAGAAGAGTAGCAGCATAAAGAAGGCCATGTCAGCCACAGTGGGATACCATGAAGGGCCAGTGATCAAGACCTGGGAGGCAGAAGAGGAGGATAACAACCACCACCTGCCCCAGCCTATTGGAACTGGCCTTGGATAAGAACATAAAGAATTACCTGCAGATGCAGAAGTAGCAGCTAGAGGAAGAGAAGGTGACCATCCAGGATGTCTTGCAGCCTGGTGAGTGAGGAGAAGCAGAAGTTGCTGGAGATGAAGGAGAAGATGCTGGAAGATCTCCAGAGCTGCTTGCATCCTAGTACAAGGCAGTGGAGAGCAAGCTGCTCCTTCGGGGCAGGAACATCATGGATCACAACAAGGAGCAGCAGAAGATTTAGAAACTAAAGAGTCAGGAGATTGCCAAGCAAAAAAATGCCATGAGCAGGAAATGCAACAGGAGGTGATGATTTGAGGTGAAGAGACCATGTAGTTCCAGGGCACCTACACATCCCTGCAGCAGGACATCAAAGTCAAAATGAAGAAACTCAAGAAGCTCTATGCCAAACAGCAGGCAGTGAAGGCAGACATCTAGGAGAAGTATGATGAGCATGTCCATATATAGGAGGATCTGCAAAAGGCACAGAATGAGCAGAACTGGGAACTCAAGTTCAAGTAACTAATCATTGAGAACTTCATCCTCCTGAGGAGAAGAACAAGGTCGTAAACAAGCTTTTCCTGTATTGTGAGGCGGGGCAGTAGAGGGGGCCATCCACTTCTGTCAGCTGGATTCAATAATAGCAAAAGCAGCAGCAGCCCATGTCTGCAGTGGGCCACAAGAGGCCTGTCAGTCAGTATGCTCAGCTTGCCATGACAATGGTAGCATCCCAGGCACAGGACTGTGTGCATAATAGCTGAGGCTCAGGGGGATAGCCTGGTCTTGTCACACTGGACATGGGATGGCACAACTGTCCGCCCAACCCGAGTTGCATCTCTGCTTCCAGTGCTCTGAGGGGCCCCAGAGAGAAGGTCAGGGAGAGAGGGAGAGGCAGGGCCTCATGAAGCCAGATGACTCTGCAGTCTCCTTGGGTAGAGTGCTCCCTTTGTCCACCATTGCTTAAGGCCACCTGTCCCTCAGAACCGTCTGCATTCTGAGCCTGGCCGGGAGCTAGAGCAGAGGCTGGAGGCTGGGTAGATGGGCAGTAAAAGGGAGACGCAGGGCCCCCAGCTTAGGAATCTGTCCTGAAGTACAAATGTCAGTGACCATGACAGCTCTCAACGGACTGATCCACTGATATGCAGACTAGGAACAGAGCTCCACCTGCAGTGCGGGCTTTGTCCCCAGTGTGTTGCTGAACCTAAAGGAAACTCCAGAGTGCAGATCTATGTACAGAGTAAGGCGGCGGGAAGCGGGGGTCTCTCCTTTACTGAACTCTGGGACATGTCCATCCCTGAGAAAGAGGAACCGCTGAATCTCACCCTCACGGACGTGTCTACTGTGCAATTTGTGGATGCTGTTTTGTTGCTGCTGTTTTACAAATTTACTTTCACACCTGAGGTGAAGAAAACTGCTTTCGTTGTCGACTTCACAGAGTTCTCTCCTTCTCATCACAAAATTGGAAAAGACAAGTATTCAGGAGACCAAGTGAGAACATCTGCTTTTGGCTGCGGTAAGGGGGAGGGTCCTCAGGCCTCGGCCCATGGCGACGAGGGGCGGGGGCGGCGGGGCTAGTGAGAGCCCGGCGGGGGCCGGGCGCTCAGGGCGCGTGGGCCGGGCTGGTGGTAGAGCTGCTGGCGTCGTCGGAGCGGCTGTCGTCGCTGAGGGAGCGGGGCCGGGTCCCCGCGGGGCGGCTGCAGCAGCCGGGCAGGAGTGGGTGCCGGGGCGCGCGGGCTTCCTCAAGCGGTCCTCGCCCGTGAAGAGCTTGCCACAGGTGGGCCACATACGCTCTCGCGCGTGCGCAGTGAGGCGGCGCCGCGCCAGGTCGGCGGAGGCGCGAACTTCAGGTTGCCGTGCTGCCAGCCGCAGGCGAAGGCCCTCTTGCCGTTGTGAGTTCTCAAGGCGCAAAACTTTCTCGCAGCCTGCGTCGTGGCACTTGTACTTTCTCTTCGGGGGCCCCAGGTTGGCATGACTTCGGCCCTGTAGGTCCCCTCGAATGAGGTGGGGTTCGCTGTTGTCTGGGTGCCTAGGCTCCAGTCCCACCTGGGCTGAAGTTCCGGCTACACCTCGCGGGGCTGCGGGTGGGGGTGGGGCGGCGTCTCCGCGCCTGCGCCGCCGCTGTTGAGGAGGGGTTGCGTGGGGTGGTGGGGAGCAGGGGGTTCTCCTTAGAGGCGCCCTCTCTGGGCTCTTCAAGGGCACGCGCCTGCGCTCGCTGGTCGTGGCCGCCCAGTACGCCTCCTCCACGAAGAGGAAGGCGCTGGCCTTGCCTTCCTGGCCTGCCTGGGAGTTGGGTAGGGTAGCGTGGCCGTCCAGAAGCTGGCCGGGCCCTTCTGACCACCCCGTGCAACAGAGTGGCTGGGCAAGGATAGGAAGCAAACAGAACAAGGTTCTAGTTAGAACATAAATAACTAATGGGGTTGTAACAGTACAGCATGGTGACTTTAGTTAACACTGTATATATAAAGTTAGTAAGAGAGTAGGTCTTAGAATTTCTCGTCACAGGGGGAAAAAATACCTAGCTATTTTGGGTTCTTTATCAGGGGTATTTTGGGGATTGGTTACTAGGAGATTATTGTGGTCCCTTATTGATGTCATGATTCCATGATTTTGTCTGTTTTTTGAAGTCCTTGCAGTTGCTGTCATTCCATTGGAAATAGCAGAAACTTCCTCCAGTATTTACTGACCAACTTTAGGAGAGAATTTCCTTCCCACTGCTCTGCTAAGGATTTTGAGGCTTTCTCAGTCCTTTATCCTCAGTGGATACACCTGTGTCACACTTCTTGCTTCCTCTCGTGGCAGAATTCTTTAGCATATAGTCTTCTGTCGGTCCCACAACACACCAGACTGATTGCTGACAGCCTCCCATTTGCTTTGCCAATGGTAACGCTAACACTCAAATTTCTAGTTGCGCCTGGCCCGAGATTCAGGCTGATTTTCTGCAGTGCTCACTGGCCATCTGACGAAGCTCATTCTTGAGGCCATCTGGAGTGTTCACAGGCAGAGGGTCACACGGTTTGGGAGGTGTGTGGGTGAGATGCACAAAGCAGTGGGGGTTCCCATAGGGCAGTTGGGAGGATCCGCAAGAGAGGTTTCCCCAGTGGCTCTTTGGTGGCCTTCTTGATGGAGTTCACAATGCAGTTAGCAGACCCTGAATCCACATGCCTTTAATACCATCTGAGACTCCTCTCTGTCGCTCTCTCAGCGTCTTCCCTACCCCAGCTAGTGCAGCTCACAGCTCAGTACTCTGGATGGGGCAAAAAAAGAAACAGGGCCTCTTGGCAGCATCTCACATGGCTGGGGAGTCTGAGTACTCACTCACATACTCTCACTTTCCCCATGTGATAAATCATGGATGAAGACAGTCTTTTTTGGCACAAACCTGTGCTTCCTTGGGGAAGTAGTTATGCAGGTAAAGTCAGGCAGTCACTCTTACCCCCTCCAGTGCATCCAAACTCATATATTTTTTTTCCTCCAACAGTATGCAGGAACTACTCTACTGGAATCCAGGACTTCCACAAAAACTCTCATCTACACATCTGATTCTGTGTTCTCCATGGGCTCCAAGACCACACTGAGATGTGAGACCCAGTTTATGAAGCACTGTAGTGTCCACGGTCAGGACCAAGGTATGTATGACTATTACTTGAAGCAAGCTGGTCAGCAGTTTATGATGGTTGATGTGGTCTGGATCCCTATGAAACTGAGGTTCTAAACAAACAAACATGTTTTGAATTTCCCCATTTGGTTTGCTGTTGATTCAAATTTATGTGAATCAGAGGAGTGTGATATAGTCTTAACCACTGAAATTAATATTCCGTGGATCCTAAATTCAAAGTAAAAAATTGAAGTTCAAACAATGTTATTTTTCTGTGCAGTAGTCCTGTCAGTAATTACTTACAAATATAATTAGATTATCTAAAATCCAAAAGTATATTTAATATTGCTTTTGTGTTTCCTATCTGTATAACCATGCAGACTTGAGTAAAACTGATGAATATGTTTATAGGCTCCCACTGTCACTGATTCAATGGATCTATTAACATTTAGACAGTGTTTATTACTTTTAATAAAATTTGCTGATAGAATATCATGTTAGGTGTAATTCAGTGTATTGAAGATGATACACTAAATATATAGATAGCGTTGTTACCATAGCATACATTTCCCAATGTGTTTCTTCTGATCAAACAATTAATGAACTATTCAGGTGTATTCACTGCATGCATCATTACAAAGTTGGCATATGATTAATTCATGAGTGACAGCAAGGTATGTCACCTGGAATACAGTGATATGCACTTTGACCTTCAAAGCAATCTTCACAAAAGACTCAGAAAATACTAAGGCCCCTGCACTAATCTTATATGGAATGCAAATAACACATTTAAAAGATGTTTTGCTTCAAGACAAAATACTTTGACCTAATGTTAAAACAGGACTTCATTACAAAGGCTAGCGTGAAGTTTCTTAAAAAAAAAAAAAACCACGAAAATAAATTTCATGGATTTTGCATGTGCTTTAAATATTTGTATATACTGTTAAGATGTGACCTTAAATCATTAAAATGTATTAGTTCATCTTACTTCCACATTTCAGCAAATGACACATACCTAATATATTTCAAATATGTGCTTTTAATTACTTTGCCTCTAATTAATATGCTCTGATTATTTTTCTACTATAAAATATGAATTAACCTAAGTTATGGCATGTATACATATATTTATATGTAATTATAGATATATTTATAATCCATTAAAGTGTTATTACATTCTGATGCCAAGTAAATTTGTTTTTCCATTAATACACATATCAGTTAGGATACTTGCACTAAATCTCAAACTAGCTTAAACAAAATCAATTAATTACTCTCCATATTATGACAAATTGCTAACAAAACTTTTAGACTTAACAGTGCTCTTTTAGCTGACAATTAAAGAATAATAAAAGCTAACCTCCTCCCTCAGTATCCACTTTAAATGCCCCAAGTAACTCTCCTTCTGCTTAATTCATGTCTACCTCTGAGCTAATCATTATGGATACTCTGGCCACTCTGGGTTTCAGGTTCATCTCTGTAGGCATGAGAGATAAGTTCTTTATCAAGTGAGTCAGTAGCTTTTTCTGAAAGAAATAAAGAAAAAGAAAAAGATTTCCACTTTAAGGAAAAAGGATAGTGAATGTTCAAAGTTCGTAATATTCAAAGTTTCCACAGCCTGACTCTGGCCTTACAGACGTCAGCCTACCCCTTCAGGGATTTGGCCTCAAACTGCACACATAACCTCTGACAGTTATGAGAGCTTTGATCTCTGTTAATCTACTTCTGCTACTTCCTGTACTCAATAATAGTATATATGAAGAAGTCTACCCTAGGTCCCAAGATTGGAAAGCCCCTCAATTTCAGCAGCACAGGAACACCTGAACATTTCCTTCCCTTAAGGAAAACTAGTAAGCCTTTTATTGCTCTTAGTGTAAGTCAAATCATAACTTTTTCCTTTGGTTTATTTTCTTGTTCTTCTTATATCTCTCCAGCTACATCTCTCAAAAACTCTTCATCCTAAGCTCTATTTTTCAGTAATATTATTTTTTGTTCTTTAAAGGTACTATACCTTTTTTTACTATATTATTTCACTTGACATTTGATATGTTATTCCCTTTGTTGGAATCCACCTGCTTCAGTGTCTTCACTAAGCTAACATATATTCTCTTGTTCCCATTTACTCTGGGAAGTTCATTCCTCTAAAAATAGCTGACAGCCAATTGGCCAGATTTTCTGGTTAAACTCTAAATCTGTACACTATAAAATAAAAACCCATATTAGGGCCAAGATGTTAAAATGCCTATGAAAATGATTGCATGCCTAAATCTAAGCTCTCAATACTAAGGTTTAGGACAAAGGTCTTCATGTTATCATTTGCAAAATTATACCATGAAGGCAATTTTCATATTCTATAAGATAAACTGTAGGGCTTCTCTATCTCTCGAAGTTCTGGGCAATGACATGGTTGTTTTAACTTGCAAAATTATGTGAATGGGTGGATATTTTTCTAGTAATGCCAAAGTGTAATGTTTAGAGTCACACAAAAGTAACACAATCAAGATAGGTAAAGGGAGAGGTAGTGGGGAGGGAAGCTTAAAGTAAAGCAAGAGGCCTGTTTGCTAATTAGTATTTCCTTGTTTCCTGCTCTGATCTCCTCTTCATGCTGACATTGCTTCACAAACAATTTTTATCTATGTCTTTGTGCTGTTTTTGTACCTTCCACAATCCAGTGTAAGAACTCCTTCCCACATGTCAAAGTTAATGATAGTATCTCAGTGTCTTCCCGATTTAGAGATAAGCAAATATTCTGACATTTCAGTCACTCAGGATTTAATAAATTCCTCAAATTATTGATGGAATCAATTGTTCACTCTCCCTTGAAAAATTATTTGAGTAGTAAATTGATTCCTCAGCTATGCTCAGAGAGATTATTAAAAAAAATAACAAAGGCTGATCATGGTTATTTTGCTCCACTGTCTTGCTCTGCCTGTCTTCTGTTACTCAAAGAGTTATTTCATTATTGTTTGTGACTTTTCATGTGTTCAGAAGCTGGGGTGATTTATAATCAGATGTCAACAATGATAAGGCAAATAAAAGCAACCCACTAGTGAGCCAACAAAGAACACCCTCTGAAACCAAGGGTTGCTATCTTACTTCTCCCCAGATTATGCACCACTTTGAGATGTATAGTAAATCCAGGCATAAATAGAATGAGACCACGATGTCCTTATAGACTTGACCATAGTGAAAGGATAAACTTTACTTTCACCTCTGTCCATTTTGTCCTACCAACATTGACTACAGGCCATGTGATGATTTGCCTATAAGATTAAATGAGCAATGAACTAATGAATCATACTTCTAATTTGTTGATGTATAATTAACATTATTTTAATGGTGTAGTTCCATGAGTTATGACAAATATACATACTAATATTACCATAACAACAGTCAAGAGATACAACATTTTCCACCTCCCAAAAAGTCCCTGTATGTCACTTTGCAGGCAACCTTTCCCTAATCTCTGATTCAGACAATATCTGCTGTGACTATAGATTAGTTTTGCCTCCTCTAGAACTTCATATATATGATATATTAATTTCCTGAGTTATCTGTAAAAAATTACCACACACTTGGTGGCTTAACACAACAGAGCATGCAGAATTTATAGATCTGTTGTGGGAAAACAGTTACTTTAAATAAGAAATACAAAAAAAAAGTAGCAAAATAGATGCAAGTACTGCAGACTGAAATTTACTAAATATTGGTGAGAAAAAAATAAGACAGTGACTTCCTTTTTATTTGGGGGATCCATCAGAAGGGTGAACTGGGAGGGGAAATATTTGAAACATGAGAGAGATTCCACCTGCCCTTGTTTGAAGAAGTAGGAATACATGGAAAACATGAGAAGGAAGGTGGGTGGCCTCTAGGAGCAAAGACTAGCCCTTCACCAACAGCCAGCAAGGAAATGGGTTCCTCAATACTATAAGTGAAAGAAAATGAATCCTTCCAACTGCATGAGCCTGGGACCAGGCTGGTCCCTAGAGCTTCCAGAGGAGCACAGCCCTACTGGGTATTATAAGCAAAAGCAGAAAGAACATGCCAACTAGACACCTGCAATGTAAGAGATAACAGACAGAAGTTACATGATATATGTATCATGGTTTTAAGTGTCTCTCTCACTTTTATTCCATGGAAACCCAATGCTTACATTCCAGGTGCTAGAGGAAAAAATAATAGGCATAGAAATTTTGGGCTCTTAGGTGTAATTCCTTCTGTTCCACTTTCTCACACAATTGTTTTATTCTAAATCTATGACAGTAGTGGACACTATATGAAAGAGAAACAAACTCTGCTTGACTATGTGAACAAAAGATTAAAATGAAATAGCAAAAGAAAAGATAGTGGGACAAAACTAATTATCCAGGGTTATTTATTTGCATTGTGCAAGTTTTTTTTAAACTGCTTATGATTTAAATTATAGGCCTTTTCTTAAGAATTTTTTTATATACTTCATTTTATTGCTGTAGAATTTAGAAGAAAATAAGATACAATCACTTACCTGAAATCTCAACGAGAGCATATTGTAATCTGTAGTAGAATATAGGACCCCTTATTTCTCTAAAAGTATCTGTCCCCAATTTTAATAAATATAAATTATATTTCCATACACTATGTGTTTTTAAAGTGAATTGGATTTATAGTCAATGGTTAATCTAAAAGAATCTGTTACTTTAAATTGTGTATTAAAAAGGCTAAGCATTAAATAATCCATTTTGAAAACAATTTATTAATTGCAAAATAATAGCCATTGATTTTTCAACGTGCTATGTGACTCTTTTGCCTGCATAAGGAGCATAGTATTTGATCATAGTGATAAAATGATTATAAAAAATATTGCAATAATTAGTCATATTGAGGCTAGTTTGGAAACGAGGCATAGATACAGCAACAATAGTGTCCAGAGCACATTAATCTAAAATGAAAATATCCTAAGTCTTCACATTTATTCTAAGTTGAATTCATATGGTTCAAGAATGTACTTAGGGAGTTTCTTTCGTTAAAATTATCATTAACTTTAATTTTTAAAGATTTCCTTCCCACTCATATGACAAGAGGTATCTACTTAGTGACTTCTTCTGTGAACCAATATTCCCTCCACTGTCAGGATTTATAATTGAAGTGCTCTAAACTAAACTATTGTAACTGAACTGCACTTGACAGTGTCAGTGTGATTAGAGCTGACAGGGGCTAATGTTCATTTTGTGTCTGCTGATTGAAATTCCTGTATGTTACCAAGGTAGTGTAACCTTCTGCTTAGCGTAGTTCTTTGGGAAAATGGACAGAAATATGAAAAGCAAATCAGGTAAGAATAAAATAGAAGGTGAAAAAGGAAAATAAATGAGAATAAAAACTTCAAATGATTTAGGACAGGAAGAATGAAGCAGATGATTTATGGACTTCAAAATCTAATTGATGCCATAAGACCACATATGTTACATTAGTATAACATGGATTACAAACAAGTGGAAAGTATTGGCTTGAGCAGACTTGAACAGTGTCACTATTTCTGATATAGAAATACAGATTACCTTAAAGAAGAACCCCCTACAGTGTGCCATTAGAGATGGCTTAAATGATGCATTCAATCATAGCACTAGTTTCTAGATGAACTTTAGTATTAAGCACAGTATTAAAGGATGCTTTATCAAGGCATTCCAGATTTTATATCACACTGTTTATATAATAAATATTTTGTTTAATGAACTTGTATTATATTCCATTTAATATGCCTGTCTGATAGAGGAAGGATGAGCATAAGAGGGCTCTTATGTGCTTATGGTAAAAGCTAGGAGGTTTTCTTAATTCGTGTTTTAGGAAAATCTTTTACAGGTTATTTCATTCTTTTCCTTGAAATTCACCTCTGAAAATTTTCTTGAAATACTACTAACCCTGTATTTTCCTAAAATATTAAAATTCTTATTTCAATATTCTAAGCAATTGGGAACAAAATATAAAAATAAAGTATTGTTTAGGACATGGAATCCAAAAATGAGGATATAGTTTAAAAGTAAAATAGCTGTAGATTTAATGTTGGTATGAGAAAAAATTCCAGATATTTGCAGCACATGTCTTACCAAGAGAACAATCAACTAATTAATCCAGTCTAGCATTACATAAGAAGGTTCCATTCTTTCACTATTATCACCATATTTTGGGGACAGCATAGTGTAGTAACTAGTTTGTGAGACGTGCAACAGTAAGATCTCAATTAGTATTCCGCTTCTGCCGTTCACTGATTTTATGAACTTGATCTTTACTTATACTTCTGGGAAATCTGTCTCCTTAAACGTAGATCATGGTTAATAAAGACTGGGTCATGTGGAGGATGAAGTATGTGAAGGAGATGGTGTGTGAAAGTGTGTCTATTTCCCTTCTCTTTTACCTTCTTCATTGGGATAAAGTGGCCTCGCATGTCTGAAAAAGGATGTGCACTTTTAATTTGTGTGGCCCTAAACACAATCCTTGCAATGACATTTGTTTCATGTCTTCTGCCTCCCTGTTGGTTGGGGAAATGTAGCTA